AGCCAACAGCCTGTATGACAGCAGTCTTCTTCTCACCCCAAACTCAGCTTGAGGCCTTGTAAGCACTTGAAATATAGGAGCAACAAAAGTAGAGCCCAGGTGCAGTCTGTGGAACACCCATGTTAGGCACATGTACCTGACTCACACCAGCTGGGCCGCCCCAGCTCTTTCCTGTTTCGGTCTTATTTTGGTTTTTCCTTTCTGATAATCCCAGGTATATAGGTCAAACCAAGGTAGACTGATGTGGTTTGAATAAGAAACTGAATAGCTGAAAGAAACAGAAATCAGCATTTGGAGGTACATCTTATAAGAACTTTGCCTGGAGAAGGTACCAGCTTTCTCTGTATTCTCGCTGAAGCATGGGAAAATGTCTGTCGTTGCCAACACATTACCTTTCAGGAGGTAATTGACCTGCTCTGTTGCTAGGAACATCTGTAGCCATCTGAAGATAGATTGGAACCTCCTTACTCAGAAGAGTTTAACTGTTTGGCAGAGGAATGTCAACTATTGCTGCAGAATAAGCTGGGTAGTCACCTGCTGACCCCTTTTCATTCTTTTCTGCCTTATTAGAATCTTGATACAAGAATAAGTTCAGCAAGAGTTGGAGGGGGAGAGTGAAATCATTCCCAGGCTTCCTGTGGAGGTCTGTGCTCTGCAGGCCGTGGCGAGCCAAGCCTGAAAAAGAATTAAAAGTGTTGGCTTTGAGTCAGCAGAAATAGTGCAATTTATTTAATAAAAGTTTTGAAGGAACACTTTTTCTTATTACAGGCTAAATGTTTTGGTGTATTTTGCCTATCTTTGTTATGTCTTGGGAATGCCATTTCCTAGCACTTCTTAGATCTAAAACACTGCATTTGTACCTAATTGATATGCCTGTCGCTCATCTCCGTTTGGTCTTTGGGCAGTTGTTGCTTTTGCAGTGCTGAGCAATAATGTCTAGATATGCTCTCTTTCCTTAGGTCAGAGCAGCGTTCATCCTTTATACAGGTGAAGAATATTCCTGCTAGAAATGCTCAGTCCTCATCTGATTTTACAGGAAATGTAGAGATGCCAGTATCAGAAACAAGAACAGGCAAATCTCTGCAGTTTTATGGATCTTTTTGAGGGTGACATGCAGAAATCCAAGTGAACAGCTGAAGAGCAAATAGTCGAGAACCAGGCAATTGTTCTAGATTTTAAACAGTTTCCTTTTAAATATTAGGAACAAACATATCTTTGATATGGTAAAAATTTAAACTTATCTTTAATTACTTTTTCTGCTTTAGTTAGTGCTGACATTTTTCTGAACTCTTTGGATACCAGAGCATTTTAGTTTCTCTGTAAAATGTTAATCTTTGTAACATGACTTTCATTGCCCTTCAAGTTCCCCAGCTGTGTATTCCAAGAAAAACAAAGAGCACACTGAAAAGTGAGCTGATCTGATTGGTTAAAAACTTATTATAGGAAAGTCCTGCTATTTGATAAGGTTGATTTTCTTTTTGCAGCTGTTGTCTCTTTGTGGCTTGGAGTTTTGGTGCCTGGAAGCTATAAACAGGGTTTTAAACAAAATATATAACTGAAGTAAATTCATTCACCTGGTAAGAAAGTATAGAACTACACCACATGCCATAAACTTAGGTTTCTTGTTTTCGCACTTACATTTTATATGAACTATTTTTGTCTGCTCTATACTTTACAGTCTCTTACTAATTTTCTTCTAGTTATTCTGTACCATTTAAAAATCATTATCTCTATACAACACAGCAGCAGGCTTCATAAAATTGTAGCATGCTTTTTCCAAATAATACTGTAATTACAAAGATTAAGACACTTTGCTGAAAGTAAAAATACATATGCCATCCTTTATGTGCTTAAGTAATGCTTTTTAATTGCCAGATCTACAAAACTTGTACTGAAATAATATAGAATCATATTTGGAAAGGTTTATTGGTGCACCACAATTTTTGAACATGGATTTGGAGTTCCATGCTGTCTGGTTTTAGTGGGTACAAGAGGTGTTTTCTCACCCAGGGTCTTTACTGCCACTGTTACTACCAATAAATGACAGTACCAGTGGTGGGACCAGCAGACACTTTAATCCCTGCTTATGAATTATCAGAAGGTGGAGCTTTGCTTAATGAGTTGTTTTACATTAAGGTATTTGTGTATTCACTTCCTCAGCAGACAGTTCCCCTTACACCTCCACCGCTGTGAGCAGTTGTGTCCTTCAGAATCCAGTCATGATCTCTGGCATGGAGATCTGTTAAACAGTTGCAGAGGCACTCGAGGAAAGAACGATTCCATGGACTACTGTTTCTCTGAGTACTCCATTCTCAGTAGAAGAATATTAATGGTGTCGCAGGGATGCGTTTTGGAAGCTTGGTGAGGGCTGAGAACTCATCTTGTCTTTTTGCATTGGTGGTTTAAGTTGCAAAACAACGGCTGAAGATAGAAATTGGCTTTCTGCCTGTGTAAAAGAAATCCAGAAGCTGGCACTCCAGGGCTAGTGTGGTAGCTCTGTTAGTAAGAGGATCTCTGGATCCTTCTGTCTTTCTCTATTGCCTTTTTTAGCAGGTGGGCTGCTGTTTTTAAGATTGCCTCAGAGTCATCAATAACTGCTGAAGCTCCAGCCATCTCATTCAAGTTCTTGGCAGCAGGGAGGAGGAAGGGACAAGGGGAATGAGCCTACCTGCCAGCTTAGCCGCTAAACAGCTTTCCTGGAATTCCCATCCAACATTTTTTACTTCTGTATATTGGCCACTCATATGTAAGCAAGGCTGGGAAATGCGCTTTATAGCTGGAGTATTGCTGTTTCTGACTGTAGGGGTTTGGGGAAGCAGCTGTCAGTTTCTGGCACATGTTCACCAAATCATATGCTCCAGTGCACGTTTTCCGACAGTATTACAAGGAGTAAAATGTAGAGGAGATATTTGTAGGGAATTCTTTTTAGGGTCAACACAATTGTGAAATGTATGACTTGGAGCAGTACTTCTCAGTTCTAAGAGATGCAGCGCTCCAATTATATAACACAGATTTTATGACACCTGCTTTATGATCCTGAAATAAAATGTGTAGGTAGTTTAATCTACCTTTGCATATAATTTATATATGTACATAAAAATATGTATATGCTACAATGTAAGTTGGAGACAAAAGGTGATTTATGATAAAATGTTTTTCAGTCTATAAATGCCTAAGTACATCTATCATAGGTAAAAAATTAGAGATTCAGATGCCGGTCATATATATAAAACCATTGTGAATATAGCAGCTACACCTGTGGCCTGCTCCTGTGGTATCTTGGTGATGCAAGTATTGAGAATGGTTTTATTGTGCTCATATGTTGAAAGGGAAAACAGCTCTTTTAAAGTTCTGAAGAAAACCAAACATGGTCTTTCTTTGATAACATGGTTGTTGGATTTATGGAAAGGATCAGAGATGTTAAAACTGGGTAAAAGGAGAAAAACTATGTATTTATATGTTAAAAACAGCCTTGCTTAGATGATCACAAAGAGAACATTTCTTCACTGTGTGCTAATAACCCGCTCGTTTCAGGATACCCTGCTTCTCTGAATCCACCACCCAAATCAATCACGGTGCCTCCTCTGTTCAAAATCATTGTATCAGCAGTATCCACACCAATTTCAGTGACTTCTGGGCACAACTGAGAACCCTGCTTTAGAAGACTCTTTATATTTTCCATATTTGTTTTAACTGACACTAACTCAGTGGTTAACTTCGTTCGTTCTTCCCTTGTTATCTTTGGTTATGTCAGTGGAGCTCATTTCCTCTTAAATTTTGCTGTAAGGCTGTATTAAGTAAATTTGAAACCATGAAGCCTTTGCAAGGAAAAATCAGAACTTTCAACGTCTCAAATTCAGGTGTTGAAAAGGAAATGTGTTAGAATCTGGCACAACTGCAGTTAGGATTAAAGGCAGCGATCAGGAAATGCTGCAAGGTCACTTGCCCGAGGTTCTGGTTGCCAAGGCTGTGAGTTTGAACCTTTCCCATTGACCTATTCCCTGTGTGCTCTTTCTTATTCTAAGGGCTTCTAAACTGGGCATGTGTCTGTTAAAAGTGCCCCTGAATTTGCTCCTCTTCTTACTAGAAACACGAGGAGGTTTTTAGATTCGGAAGTATCTGAGCAGAAGGATCATGTGAAGAGGCCTGCTTAAGACACCTGCATCCCACACCTGGTTACCTTAGGCATCACATACCTTTGTGTTGTCTGATTAGGTCACTTTTTTAAAGCACATCTGGCATTACTCATAAGTCTTAAGATCACTTATAAGTAGGAAAAATATATAATGCTTTTCTTTCTAAATTACACCCTCACCTTTTCTTACTTCTTTGATTAACCTGAATGCTTTCATTTAATTGTAGTTTGAGGATAAATTGCCAGAAATCTTTTTTTAATGATGGCATTTTAATTAAAACCACTTTTTAAAGTTAATGAACCCAATAGAATGGCATTTTGAATTTTCTTTTGTGAAGCTAAATTGCTATCCAGCTATGTCAGAAAGTTTAAGTACATATTCTTTGCCTAGTGCTAGATTGATTTCATTTTAACTGAGGCTTTAAGGAACGATTTTGTTCCATCGTGATGATCTGTTGTATGCTCTCTTACATGTCTCAAGATAAAATTATTACTTTTAAGTTTTAATTTGCAGATATCCCAGCAATGCAGTTTCTGTTAGTTGATTTATGACATTTAATGCAAATAGTATGCGGATTCATTGAGCAGTATCTACTACGGTGTTTTGTAGTAATTAATGTTCTTTTATTTTCAGTTGGTGTTTTGCATCTTTTGGCTTTGCTTGTCATTGGATATCTGATTGATTGTATTAAATTTTATCCTATATGAAACTGCCTCTGAGTAAAACTATATTGTGCGAATGGGTATGTGTGTATATGTACGTGTGTGCCTGTGTGTGTACAAGCATGTATCCAAAGACGGCATCTGTGGCACAGCCTAGGCCAACCTCAGATCTTGAAGAATCACTCATTTATTTTGTGGGCAGGTGAGCCAAGATGGGAAGTCGCTCCTTGACAAGCTCCAGCGGCCCTTGACGCCTGGCAGCTCTGATTCCTTGACGGCCTCTGCCAACTACTCCAAGGCTGTGCACCATGTCCTGGATGTCATCCACGAGGTGCTGCACCACCAGCGGCAGCTTGAGAACATCTGGCAACACCGCAAGGTCCGGCTCCATCAGAGGCTGCAGCTGTGTGTTTTCCAGCAGGACGTTCAGCAGGTCAGTTTCGCGTCGTGCTCTTCTCCATGGGAAGTGGCTTGTATTGAGTAGAGTTTGAGCACATCATCATATTGGGAAGACCTGTGCTGAAGGAGTGGTGACTGGAAGATAAGAAGAGGAGCTTTTTTGTTGACTGTGAGTGAAAACTGGGCCTACGAACACATGTTCAGGCTGCTGTCAGCTCCTCGCTCCTGTGTGCTGAACCTGGGAGAGGATGTGGGGCCTACATTGGGAAGTGTCTGAGTTTTCTTCTAGAAACAGATCATTCTCAATTATATTTATTTGTGACAATAATGCTGGTGTGCTCACACCATTGTATTGTTACAATTTAGTTAAGACTTGTCTGCTTTCCAGCTACTTAAATAGTGAGGTGGTCATGCTTGCCTTCTCATGGGGTAGATAATACAGTCCATGGTGCACAGTACGTGCTTTATAATTAGTTGTCTCATTAATGAAAAGTGGACTTTCATGACTACTAATTTCTAAGCATTGACATCTGTTTTGTTTTAAAGAAACAAAAATTAAGAGTAAGTCCAGTTCCCCATTGATTTGCTTCTTTATAATAAAAATTTTAAGGATTAAATGTATAGGAATAAAATATGACATAGCTTTATGGATAAATAATAACCATGTCCTTGCCCCCAAATAGAGGGAAATATGGGGAATGAATGAGGTGTCCCCTCTGGGGAGGAGGAATCCTGGGGTATGCAGGGTAGCCCATGGCCTCAGGAAGTTGGCTGGGAGCCACCATGATAAGCCTGCAGTAGAGCCACTCTCAGGATCTCAGATTTCCATCTCCCTGAGTGTCCTCTGAAAGTGAGTGAGTTTTCTGCTGAATGGGCTGGGAGTTTGGAGAGTTACCCTTTGTTCCACTGAGCCTGAGATTCTCTGTATGTCATTCACTGTCATTCTTATCATTCTTCACTTCCCGTGAGTCAGGTAATTTCAAAAGACACTGAAAGGGCCAGGTGCGGTGGCTGACATCTGTAATCCCAGCACTTTGGGTGGCCAAGGTGGGCAGATCACCCTACACCAAGAGTTTAAGACCAGCCTGGCCAACATGGTGAAACCTTGTCTCTATTAAAAATACAAAAATAAGCTTGCCATGCTGGCACATGCTTGTAATCCCAGCTACTCAGGAGGCTGAGGCAGGAGAATTGCTTGAACCCAGGAGGCGGAGGTTGCAGTGAGCCAAGATCACACCACTGCACTCCAGCCTGGGCAACAGAGCAAGACTCCATCTCAAAAAAAAAAAGACTCTGAATGCCCCTGTAATTTTTAATTTTCATATGTCATGCTTTGATTCTATTTTTATTTTTGAGTTCTCTGAGGTTACATATACAAAGTGCCTCAGGAATGATTATTTTGTTATTATCCATGCTTCTTAACAATGTTGTTTTCGTCCAAGAAGATAATTGCCAGAGAAAGAATACAGTGCAGGAAAGAAGTGAGTGGAGCCAGTGGTGAAGAGGGATTGAGAGGACAGACATTGTGGGATTGAAATCATGAATAATTGTGTTTTTTAGTTGTCCCCAAACTTCCACAAACCATGAAATGTTAGCAGTTTAAATGCAGTTGTTGAACAATCCCCACATTCTTTGTGTCCCTTGGGTTGGGCATAATTATATATCCATGGACTGATGCACTTCCCAGGAGAGGGCCTCATTAACTCACCGAAGGGAGCAGCAGCAAGGGTACCCCCCTTCCCCTCCACACCCCATTTCTCATGGCTCTTCTTTCACTAACCTTGTGCTTAGGTTAGAAAAGGGCATAAGGTAAGGAATCCCTTGGGAATAGGCTGAATCTGGCCATCTGATTTGGCGACAGATACTTAATATGCTTGAATTTGAAAACAGTAAACGTGTAGCAAGGTAATTATGATAATTGTGAGGCCAGTTCTTTATGCTAGCTTTTTTTCCTCTCACAAACAGAACATTGGCTTGGATGTTAGCAGGACAAAGTGTTTTGGAATACACATAATGCATATGTGATCCTGTTAGCATTCCATAGAAAATAGACGTTGCTCATTCAGGTAAATATTTTTGTTGATGAATGATCTGGAATGGTTTGGACTTGTTATGAGAACAGGAAATTGCTCTATAGGCTTTGACTTGTGAGGTGAAGAGTGAGGCTGATAAGATTAATCAAAGCCCGATTGTGACAATAGGACGTCAAAACCAAAAACGTGTTTCTGAAACTCAAGGAATTAACACATAGGGAGGTTTTTGCCTTAAGCATAGGAGAGGCAAGTTGAGAATAAATGAAAGAAAAACAGTAGAACTTTAGAAGGATGTTATCAGCAGAAGATAAAGTTGTAAAAACAGTAGTAACTGAAATCCACAAGAACATGCTAAACCAATTAGAGACACCACAGTGGTTCTCTTTTTTTGTTGTTGTTTTATTTGTTTGTCTTTTGGTGATACAAAAGCACCTGTGAAAAAAGAAGATCAAATTACTGAACAATAAGTGAGGCATGGAATGAGTACAGTTTTATGAACACAGCCTCTAAAGGAGTAAATGCACCTGCTGAAAAATATTTGAAGTAGCAAATATGCCTGTCAGTGGGCCCTGAAGAACTGAACGGGGAGGGTGGCACAGGGAGTTTGGTTTGTTAAAAAAACATGGTTACTTTTGGTTTCATGGTAAATTTTTTTTCCCTCATAATAAGCGGGGGCCATTTTGTAACTTCTGTATAGAAGGCATTTCAGATAGTAGTTGGGCGTGACAGGCGAGGTAGTTGAAGCGATGTGTGTAGCACTTACCGTGCAGAGTAACTCTCAGTGAAGGTTTGGTTGAATGAATGAACGAATAGCTGTCTTACTGCTACACAGTGTTTTCTAGTTTAGAGTATGCTTTAGTTTTCTATAAGTAGGTAACTTATTTTTGCTGGACCTGTTCAAATGGGTAGAAGTAGTCCAAAGAGGATGCCATCAGACTTGTTTTTCTGCCTCATTCATTCAGCTGAACTGGCTCTTCTTGGATTGTTGGGATATAGTTACTCCATGATGTCAGGGGCAGTGAGTAACCCCATAAGTCTGCTTTCCTGAAGCAGGCTGAGTCCCCTAGAGGAAGCTCCTCAGCAAGGATGCCTTCTGCAAAGCCCCTGATTCCCCTGTAACCCTTTGAAAGTATCTCTTAGCAGAACCCTCCAGGGCCATGTTGGACCATTTTTAAATTAATATTCTTTTTTTTTTTTGAGACGGAGTTTTGCTCTTGTTACGCAGGCTGGAGTGCAATGGCACGATCTCGGCTCACCGCAACCTCCACCTCCTGGGTTCAGGCAATTCTCCTGCCTCAGCCTCCTGAGTAGCTGGGATTACAGGCACGCACCACCGTGCCCAGCTAATTTTTTGTATTTTGAGTAGAGACAGGGTTTCACCATGTTGACCAGGATGGTCTGGATCTCTTGACCTCATGATCCACCCGCCTCAGCCTCCCAAAGTGCTGGGATTACAGGCGTGAGCCACCGCGCCCGACCTTAAATTAGTATTCTTAAAAAATGATCAGGCAAACCTAGTCCACTCTAAATCCTTCTTTTCCAGACTTCATTCTTTTTTTTCTTTTTCCAAAATATCTTAATTGAATGTGTGAAGCTCTGAAACGTTCAGGGATAAATATGTTGACAGGCTCCAAATTCCTTTTCTCAAGGAATTTATAATCTAATAAGAACAGATTATTTTTAGCAGGTGGTTTTGTAGTCTAATAAATTTGACCATGCCAGGCTCATCTGTGACACACGTGTCTTTGGTTATTGTCGGGTATAATTTGCTAAGGCATACATTTGAATCCTGTCTGTCAAGGTGCTATCAAGAGTGAGGGGTAAATGAAACTCGCAGCCTCTTCGTGGTGTCTGTCTGCCTTGCATGTGCATTTTGATGGGGCATAGCTATACTTTAGCGATTTGTGCAAATTTGGGCATTCCCGAGAGCTTTTTCTGTATTCTCCTCAAATGTCAAAGGTCTAGTGCACAAGGAAAAATGAAAAGTCCTACAGTAGAGGGGCAAATAGCAGCTCTCATATTGAGAGCTACTAGGAACATCTTTGTGAAAGAGGTGGAGTTTGAGCAGCTGTTTGAAGGATGCACAGAAGGTCAGTAGGTTGAGGAGTGGGTAGCGGAAATTCCAGCAAGAGTAGGATAGAAGAGGGCAGGACCCATCCAAGGAATGCAGGTGCCTAGTGTGGATGGGGAGGTATGAGGTGGAGCTGGTGCCGGCAAGGTGACATGGGGCCAGGCACAGAAAACATGGCCTCCATGACAAGGGTTTTGGGCCCCTGTTGAGGGAACTCATGCTTACCTGCACCAAATGCCAGTGCATGGTGTCAGGGCCATGTGTGACATCTGAACAGCACCAGGCTCATCTTGGTGCTTCATGGGTGCTCACTGCCATGAGCACCCTCTCTCCATGCTCACAGCTAGCCTATTGAACTTTACCCATTTCACCTCATTGAGTTCAAAGCCCAAAGGACCTCCTGTTCTATGCATTTTAACTTGGTGCTGTAGGCAGTAGAGGGTGGATAGCAGGAGCAAACCTAAAGGTCAGGAACTGCTTAGGTTCCCATGTGGACACCTTATATGGTTTGGCTGTGATTCCACCCAAATCTCATCTGGAATTGTAGTTCCCATAATTCCCATGTGTCATGGGGGTGGGTCTTCTCTGTACTGTTCTCGTGATAGTAAGTCTTGTGAAATCTGATGGTTTTACAAAGGGGAGTTCCCCTGCATACACTCTCTTGCCTGCTGCCATGTAAGACATACCTTTGCTTCTCCTTTGTCTTCTGCCATGATTGTGAGGCCTCCCCAGGCATGCTGAACTGTGGCTCCATTAGACATCTCTCTTTTATACATCACCTAGTCTCGGGTATGTCTTTATTAGCAGTGTGAGAACAGATTAGTACAATGCCCCTGCAAGTCATGGGTGAGTAAGTCTTGGAGAGTAAGAATGTGAGGACCACAGAGACATCTATCAGCATTTCATTCACTGGTGTTTCCCAAGTGTCTG